CTGGTCTAGGACATGAAATCAGGCTGGGCTCAAACTCAAGATCTATCTACCTCTTCCTGCTAGTGCTGAGATTAAAGGTGTGTCCCACCACACCCTGCTATACTATAACTATTTTATTTACCCCACAGTGATAAAATGCTATAATTAGAACACCCACTGGTATTTTCTGGTGAACATTGAATCTATGAAAAACCATGAACTTGACCTTGACCACCTGTAGAGTAGGAAGGTCTTTGGATTGGGTTTTGAAGAGGAAACCTCTAAGTGGTCTTTTTCTCTGACTCGGATCAACTATTTTCTCTGCATTGAGGAAACTGAAGCAGGGAATAAACTCCTTCAGTTATTACTTTACTGAAGTTTGACCTCTTCCAACCCTTCAGAGAGTATGCCACGCTCAGTACTGATCTGAGGATCATGCAGGCATATATAGATGGATGTAATAAAATAGTACATTAATTATTCTCTCAAATTTTCCATATTGTAGTCAAATATTATCAGGAAATTTTCTCTTTTTATTCAGATGTCAAATTTTTTTGTCATTTAATATATTTTTGAGAGCATCGTGCATGAACACTGCATCTACCTCACTCTGGGTTCCCTCTCTTCTCACTCCAAATCTTCCCTCAGTTACTGATCTATTCTTTAATTGTTATCATGATATGTATGTACATATGCAATGGCAGCTACTTTGCCCACTTTCAAGAATTCTCATTGTTTCATATCTATATTATCAGAATATATATATCAGGGCAAGGCTACGTTTGTTTTTGTTTGTTTGTTTTGTCTTTCAGTCCTTTAATGGAAGTTCAGATTAGTTACATGAAACAAGAACTACATAGAGCACAGCATAGAAAATCTATTCGTGAATAGCCTTTATTTTGTATTAACTCGTTTGTTTATTTGGTAAGGTACAAGCACATTTAAAGTTAAAGTTGACCAAATGAGCCAGGCGGTGGTGGCGCACGCCTTTAATCCCAGCACTCGGGAGACAGAGGCAGGCGGATGTCTGTGAGTTTGAGGCCAGCCTGGGCTATAAGAGCTAGTTCCAGGACAGGCTCTAAAACTACAGAGAAACCTTGTCTCGAAAAAAAAATTGACCAAGTGGAAGATAATATAATTTTTTTAATTCAGGGAACACCAATAGAATAGACCAGGCTGCACAACTGAGTAGTAAATTCTTTCTTATACCATGGTGCTATGAGTGTGCACGCATTGGGTGCTGTGTCAAATGGATTCCCTGCTGTGGGTGTCAGTCAGAACCTGAAAAATGCTGCTCCCAGATCCTGGATCTCTTCCACTTTGTAGGCTGCCTCTTTCCAGGTGTCCCAAAGTGGCACCGTCTCTCACTATTGAATCGCTCAAATGAACCCTCGATTGCCATCCACTCTTTCTCCTCACTTCTGAATTTGAACTCCTTGTTCCAGCCACAGGTCGACTGGCAGTTCTCCAGAGGCACTACAGGGCGCCATCTTTGTCTCCCCGCATGTGCTCTCTTCACTCCTGCCCTTTCCATTCACCCAGCCCGCTCCACACAGCATTCCACACCTTGCTTAGAGGTCGCTTCTTTCTGAAAATCTTCATTGGCCATGGGGTTCTATTCTGTGGTTCCCAGCAATCTCACTGATACCTGGTTCGGATGGTAGCGTTTGTGAAACAGGCCAAATGGCTAATTCTGAGCATCAGAGCCTCTGTCTGAATGTTTTGAAGTCAGGGACAGGTCATTCCCGAGAAACGGCAGCCATTTAGAAGTGAAGCTGGGGTGACAACTGCTAGGGGCTCACAAAGATGCTTGTGTTACCCTGGTTCTGTAATATAACTTGAGACCAAGAACAGTGATGGCCTCAGCATTTTCCCTGCCTTGGCATTGCTTTCTCTGTCTGGGTTCTTTTGTAATTTCAAACGGAACTTTAAGAACTTTTCTGTTTCAGTGAATGATGGCACTCCAGGCAGAGGTCTTGGGATCATTGCCCAGGCTGACCTCAAACTTGTGATCCATAGCACGACCTCCTTAGTGCTGGTGGTATAGGTCTGAATTTGATCTCGACAGAAAAAAGTGCTTCTAAGAGAAAAATGACAAGGGTAAAGGAGTCTCAGTCAAGGCAAAATATACAATCAGGCTAGAAGTAAATGCAGTTGAGTCCTGAGCATTTGATTAAAAGGAGAAAGACCCCATTTGTAATGTGGGTGGTTACAGGGACTCTGCTTTCACGTTGGCTTGCTCTTTCTGAACTAATTCTTTGACCTTCCTGGTTCTTTCCTCCCTTAGTACCATCAACTGTTACCAGTCATGGGTCAGACCTCCTCTTCTACACCCCCTCAGAAGGAGGAGCCTGATTTGACCTCCAGCCTTGACACAAATCTTCACAATTTCAAGATGGAAACCAAAATCATGTCTCAGGAATTAATCGCCTTGATTGGATCATACCTAGAGGAAGGGAACCTGCGGGGAGCAGTATCTGCAATCAGCGATGCTCTCAGTGACATCGAGAAAGCCCCACTGAGCATTGCAGTGATGGGGGAGACTGGGGCTGGAAAATCCAGTCTCATCAATGCTCTACAGGGAGTGGGGCCTGATGAAGAGGGTGCGGCTGCTTCCACCGGAGTGACATGTACCACCACTGAGAGAACAGCATACCCATACTCCAAGGTTCCCAGTGTGACACTGTGGGACCTGCCGGGCATCGGGTCCACTGCCTTCCAACCACATGATTATCTGAAGAAAATCAAGTTTGAGGAGTATGACTTCTTCATTATTGTCTCTTCTGGACGCTTTAAACACAATGACGCAGAACTAGCCAAAGCCATCGTGCAAGTGAATAGGCGTTTCTATTTTGTTCAAACCCACACAGACAATGATCTAATGGCTCAAAAACAGTGTAATCCTCAGAGATTCAATAAAGAGAACACCTTAAAGCAGATTCGAAATTCCATCTCAAGTATACTTAAGGAAGTGACCCAGCAGGAACCTCCAGTCTTCTTAGTCTCTAACTTTGATGTGTCTGACTTTGACTTCCCA